ACGTATATATGCGTGTAAGAAAATATAACTGGATAACTTTAGACAGTGTAGAGTTTAAATAGATTTTCTAAATTCTAAAGTTTTAGTATCAGGATTAGGTAGGTATCATGATTCATGACTTTGTCATTTCTGAATGTCTATTCTGCAAGACCCCAAGTGACCTGTAATGGTTTTTACTTTACTGAAGTCAATAACTCATACACAAACATTATAAAGTAAGCTTTCAATTTTGTTCGTATCACGTTTGAACAATCATATAATATGAATCACAACTCTATGTCATTAAATAAAATCAAAAATGTCATATTAAATATAGTATATAGTCTATACAATTTGATTTCAACAAATTTCAAACAAAACAATTTTTTTAAGTTATACAGAAGGTACTAATTAACAACTAATACAATTGAAATTTTTAGTTATTTAACTTTTTCTAACTATTTACAAATTAATATTTATTTAAAAACAAACAACCTATAATAAATCTTTTGTACATTTTTTTTTAATATTCTACATGACTACATGTACATATTATTTAATAATTATAGAACTCACGTTGATCATAAAAATTACAAACTTATTTTTATAACATTTGTTCTAAACATAATATTTAATTATAATCATTATTTTATTTGTAAATCTTCACTTATCCTTGAAGTCTTGAATGAGAACATTATAAATATATAGTTAAAAAATTGTAAATTAAATCAAAAGTTTAAAAACTATATTCAATATACAATAATAAATACGATTTTCTTAAATAAAAAACAAATAAATATTATATTATTCTTAAGCACATAAGTATATTGTGAGGTACATTATATACATATTGTGGACTGTGGTACGTTGTTATTATAATTTCTGTAATATCAAGTAATATATATTATATTAAGAGGATATTAGAGCAATATTTGTTTTCTCTCTCTGGCCCACGCGCAACATAGACCATACACATTTACGCAGAATAATTTTTTCTATGTTTTAAGTAATCTTAGAGTAAAATTATCACAAAAAAGATAGAAAATAATATTTTTGAGGGAATGTCATATCGATTCGTCTAAATATTGTCTCAAAACAATTTAGACATTATTTAAATGTACAACATTTTTTTGTTTATTTTGAAAGTCGAGTACAAAGTCAAATAACAATAAAATATAAAATCGATGTCATTCCCTCAAAAAGATTATTTTCTATCTTTTTTGTAATGAGTGGTTTTACTCTAAGATTACTTAAAACCATAGAAAAAACAATCTGAGTTAATGCGTTTTGCCTATGCTGCGCGTGGGCCAGAGAGAGAAAACAAAAAGTGCGCTGACATCCTCTTAAGAGGACGCTAGGTACCCATACGTTTGTTGTCTTTACGTATGACATAGCAAATTTTCGTTCACTAGTTTCAATAATAGTGTAAGTACTTTAAATTAGAGTGATTTGACATATAATAAGACTTTTAGGTGCCTACCTATGTACATTATTTGTGCTTAAGCGACGGCTTTTCTTCGATATTTTAATTTTAAGAGAGATATGGGTAAATTAACTATCACAAATTAAAAATGCTCATTGCTCACATTTCGCTTAAAAAATAAAATATCAAATAAAAGCCGACCTTCAAGCACATACCTAAAAGTTTACTAATATAGGTCAATTCACTCTAATATGAAAACTAACAGGACACTATTGAAACTAGTGAACGAAAATTTGCAATGTCATACATGCAGTGGCGTAAACTGGGTGGTGCAAATGCAGCACTTGCACCACCACATCTAAAATGTGGTGGTGCAAAGGTATGTTTTTGCACCACCAGAAAATCATTGAAATATATAATATATAAAGAGGTACAAAATAGTTATTTTAGTGCATGTATTAGACATTATCATTTAAATTATTACCCTATCTGGCCTATCTATATTCTAAAATATCGTACAACCCCCATAAATAGTTAGATTATTATCTATGGTAACCACTATCCACAGAATTTTGTATTTTATTATGGCAGTATCACAGAATCACGATTAAAGATATTATATCTTTAATCGTGCACAGAATAGACGTATAATTGTTCTGTGGTATAATATGGTAAAATTATATTGCTATCAACATTCTACCGCCAAAATAGTGTGTTATCACTGGATCAATGTTCATTCAATTCTCAAAAGTCAAATGTCAGATGATAGCTAGACGTCGTATTGAATCAAATTTTAAAATTCTCTTCAGGTCTCATAAGCGCCAGGAAAAACAACATAAAAATTAAGGAAAAACAGGAATTTTTACCCGAAATCGGTTTTCGACAAAATCGATTTTGGTTTTTGACCAAACAAATGAACATTTACATATATAATTGAAATATTCACTGGTTGGGTAAAAAAGCTTGGAAATTTAATAAAAGGCTCCAACTATATTGTTACAATGACATTAGAAAATTATTAAAAATCCTTAGTCACAGTTTTTTTATAAGCATTTAAAGTTCAAATCTTGACAAAATACAGAAAAATCACGAAAATTAACAATATAATTTGAGTTGAAAAAAATCATAAAAATGTTTCTTTTCAAATCTAAGATTTTAAAATGTAATACAAGATTATTCATAAGTTTGTATACGCCTTTATCAAAAAAAAAAAATGTCCACAAGTAAATCAAATTAAATTTTTATGAGCATTTGAAAATCATATTTTTACAAGATTGGATATTCACTAGATTTCTCATGTAGCGATTTTGTTAATTTGTTGTTATTCAAACAAATAACTGTAAATACATGAAAATTTATATATTTATATTTTAATTTTCTATACACCACAAAGTTTTGAAAATATTTTAACTCTCTTTGAGCTGTTTCCGGACATTGTCATTTTTTAATTTTTTTAGTTTTTTTTTCTATAAATATCAATAAAATTTTATTTGTTGGGTAAAAAGCGTGAAAATTTAATGGAAGGCTCCTGATATATTGTTACAATAGCGTTGAAAAATATTAAAAATACATAGCCACAATTTTTTTTATAAGCATTTGAAGTTCAAATGTTGACAAAATGTATGGATAAATATATAGTTTTTTTTTGTTAGGAAGGATTTTACTTAGAAAGTTGGATTATTTTTGTGTTGAAAATTATAGGTTAAGAATATGCCTCTGCACCACCAGAAATTGGACCCAATTTACGCCACTGCATACATGTGTAAGTCGGAGACAACAAATGCATGGGTAGCGTCACTAGCGTCCTCTTAATGACTTTGAAATTCAACAATTAGCATCATGATTAGATATTAAACTAAAGGTTTAGGTTCAAGTATAAAAACAACAATTTTTAAAAATAATCTTAATAATCTTTAATTTTGAATACAACCTAACAAAATACCAATTAGTTATGCCTATTAAACTTCATGAGGGCCAAGGAAATCTACAAACAGTTCAACAGTTCAGTCCCCATGTGGGGGTGTTATAAGGAAAAAAAGTATACCTACCTATTAAACAAAATAATTTTTGAACATAACACTTAGAACTAAGTAAAAGAGTATAACACTCTAAAAAATGAAAATTCAATTCAATATGCATGCAAAATATTATTTATGTTTTATTATTATAACCTAATCAATGGTTTTTTTACATTTATATTGAACTTGTATAATATAATATAATATATTCTTTGACGATTGAATTTTGTTGAAAACTTTTTTACTCACATTTACATATTATACATTTGGGGAAATGGTTTATATAGCGAACAATGGGCAAATTAAGTTTACAAATATTTACCGAAGTCTAAAAAAAAAATAATAATAAATAAGAGCTTTGGAAGTTTTAAAATTATTGTCTTGAATTCTTATTTTGAATGAAAAAATCTAAAGAAAAATAAAGCATTATTTGGTATTGAACATTTTACGATAAGATTCATTGAAAATATGAACATTACGTTTATTATGTTTCAGAATAAAATATTTAGGTTTCTGTGTAGTTTCAACATAATTAATTTTTTATTTAAAAAGAGGATGTTTTTATTACGAAAAATATTAGATTTTGTATGAATCAATGTCTTTTTTGAATTGAATTTTTCTGATTAGATATAGTCACGGGCGTGCTCAAGGGTGGGGGGGGGTCTTGGGGTTTACCCCCCCACAAATTTAAAATTCCTGAGAACGCCACTGGATATAGTTAAGAGATGTGTTCAAAAGTTTTGTTTCGGGAACTGAACTGTTGTGTGGTATCACACTTTGACAGCAGGATTCGCATTATTTGGTATCAATAATATATTAATATCATGTAAGATCATATTATCATATTTGATCATATTCGTATTTGATATACAAAAGCACGATTTTTAGGTACGTAGGGAAAATTATATTGCTCGTAATTTATATTTTAGGATAACTATACAAAGCTTTACTTAGGAGGCCGTTCTCACAATGTCCGGTTAAGTATATGATAACGCTAACAGGAAGAATTTATTTTGTGTTACAGATAGAATTCTGCCCGTTAGTCTTAACCGGCCGCGAATTCTGTCGGTAATAAAATCTGTTATCAGTCGGTTAGCGTTAACCGACAATTTACCGGACATTGTAAAAAATTAAAAACCATTAAAGACAAGTGCGAGTCTGACTCTCGCACTAAGGGTTCCGTACCATCATCAGCTATATTGGAAACACTGCTTATATTATATATTCTAGGATTTTTAGTATTGAGGAGAAGTAATGCTAACGCGGTTCCTCTTCCGTCCCTCGATAAACTCAAAAAAAAAAGAAGATTTTTAGTATTTGTTGTTATAGCATCCACGGAAATACATAATCTGTGAAAATTTCAACTTTCTAACTTTCATGGTTCATGAGATACAGCCTGGTGACAGACGGACCGACGGACGGACAGCGGAGCCTTAGTAATAGGCTTCCGTTTTACCGTACGGAACCCTAAAAACGACACTTATAGTCGACGACGTACTTACATTACACAGTCATATTCATATAAATGTTCACGATATAAAATACATAAAAATTAAAATACATAATGTTGTAATATAAACATGGAGCGTTCGACACATGGCATCCGCCGCACCCGGTATACCGTGGTATACGTGGTATTATATGACCCACGCCACCTTAGTGGCTCTGTCCGTGGACAAATGGCTGGGCCCGATCACGCTGACCGAAGTCGTTGGCACTTGGGCCTCCGGGCCGGGTCAATCGGGATCGTACTTGCAGTCGATGTGCACCAGCGCGGCAGTGGACAGCAAAGTGAGCAACGTGAGCGAAATGAGTATGGTGGCCAGCACGGCGATCTGCCCGTTCCGGAACAGCGACCGTGCGGAGACGTACAGCAGACAGGCGTGCAACAGACACGCGGCGAGCCACAGCACAGTGAGCGCCACCGCGGACCGGACGGTGGGCCCCAGAAACCGGAACGGTTGCAGTCGCGGGTCGCACAGCTGTTGCGGTCGGTAACCGCTGAAACCGTGGCTCATGTAAATGCTGCCAGCTGTATAACATAACATTATTGAAAATCAATACAATTGTATAATATTATGGACTATATAGTGTTAAGACAGGCATTGTATTGTTGTATATATAATGAGTAAGATAATAGTCCCTCTCAATAATATGGTATGTAGCCTGACTCCATTGGGTATCTTGGCATTGGAGACAGTCGGATGGAGACCTGCATCGGATTCGTCGTCCTGTAAGTCTGAACGAAGGTGTTTTTTTTGTAACTAAATAACTATTGAGTGTGTAGTAATTTTGTTTGGTAATAAAGTGGTGATAATTTAAAAAAATTGTACAAATATTTTTTTTTGTTCGGAGAAGGGAAGTTAACAGTAGGTACTGAATTCAATCAATTCAATTTTCTTATAATGTAAATGGCTCTACTTTAGAGCGATCTAATGGAATTGTACTTGGTCTAGATATCAAACTAACTAGTTGTCTGGATCCTATATAGACCACACATTATGGGCATGTGATGTTGCAAGGAATTGAAATCACTTGTATTTATTACGCGAACTGCACATTCCTTCAGAAACGAATTATCTCTTAAGCCTTAAGATACTCTGCAGATACTGCACTTTGGTGTGGTGTGTTTTGGAGTATGCCAGTGTAATCGGGGATCCTCATACAATTAGCGGTTCTTGCCAAATCGAACGCTTGTGCAGAGACGGTTTCTTATAGGTTCACTGGTTCTTTGCTCCAAATCCCTCATCATACGTAACATGAGTATACCTGTAGCTACAAGACTCAGATTAGATTCCTTGAACATTCACGAATCACAGACATTCGGTAAATCTCCAGTTTTTAAAAAAATATCTTTATTTAAAAAAACAGACTCACCTACCTCATATCCTTAATTTGTTTTAAAGTCCCTCAACGATCTGTCCGACATTCTGCCCCTTTTTCCATTTCACTGTCCCCTACATTCTACAAACTTTATGTTAAATGAATTTAAATTATTAAATAAAATTGTTAAGTATCTAAATATAAATCTATTTATAGTATATTCAGTGCCGGATCTAAGTCTCAGGGGGCCGGGGTGCAACTACCAATGGAGGCCCCTTAAAAAATATTTTCTCGACTTTACACTTATCTATTTATTTGATACGTTTTGTCGTATTGATATATTAAACAAATTAAAAAACACAACATTTAAATTCCATAATTTAATAGGTAAATTATGAAATTATACATTCACTCACTGTTATCTATTATACCACGCTTAGATATTATGATGTATTAATCTTTAATGTATGCTTCTATGCTAGTATAATATAAAATAAGAATAAATATAATTAATATGATATTGGCTGTATATTCTCTCTATTGTCCTAAAATGAAAGGACCCAAATATGAATCATGTACCTCAGTTAGGTACCTGAATTGAATACAAAATTATTCATCAATCCTTTATATTTTTTTAATTCATTGTTTTGAACATTTTTCTCCGTCTTTTAGAGGCAACACTTTCAAATTGTCTGTTAGACATGTTTTTTTTTTTTCAAAAGTCAATAAAAGATAGTGTAGGTAGGTACCTAATTTTTATTTTTAATAATCAAATGAAAAATTAATATAATAGAGTAGGTACACAAAAATAAAACTGACAAAAGTACAAAATAACATATCTGAAACCAATAACACTGCATCAAGGCAAGGGCATGTCCGTAAATCATAATCCATTTACATATTATATTAAACAATAAATACATATAACCACGGTTACATTATTAGTTTGTCCAGCAAGATACTGCACTAGCGCGAGTTCACGAGTATCTGAGATTGAATAAATAGTACGATTATACGAAAATAGTATACGATGCATAAGTACTATATAATATAATTAATGTGTATATAAATAAATATGTAAAACAAACAAGAACAATGATAAATAGTATTACTTATCTAAAATTCAAACCATCCAAAATAAATGGTTGTCACTTGTCAGTAACATCTTAAAATAATAAAATTTGTTCATTTTATAATAAAAAGTTATAGAAAGTTAGAAAATTTAGGACTTTAACCTTAGGACCCAAAAAACAACCTTGGTCTTGAGGCCCCGGTGCAATGCACCCCCTGCACCCCCGCTAAATCCGGCACTGAGTATATTGTAAAATTAGTATTTTTTCTTGTTATTGTATAGACTGTTGTTTATGGGGATCAGCTCGTAAAATCTTAATAAATAAAAATAAATAATATAGCGTGTGATGTTAACATTGGTGCCTTCCACCCCAAATGTAAAGTACTCTGGTGCCCCGGTGTGTAAGTACCGCACCCAATACCCCCACTTGTTGCGTGTCTACAGATGTTAATTAATAAATTGGAAAGGTCTACTGACCCATGTTCGTGATATAATATACATACGAATATTGTAATGCAGTTTTCATTAATTAAAATATATTGTAATATTATAGATGGATTCATAGGCGTCACTAAGATGTATCGAGGGGGGTTTGTAATTTGCACCAAATTAAAGATATGTAATTTGCACCACCCTCAGTAAGAAATGGGAATTGTAATTTGCACCAAAATTAAAATCGATTATTTTTTCAATAGTATCTCCATAGTACCAACTTACAAGGTTCTATACCCTAACATAAATTTAGCTTAGTTTTTATTTATAAATGGCGTAGCCTATACACTTATTGTTGTAAGTTTATATAAAATCGTATTACTATGAATAAAAAAAAAAGTTATCTTTTTTTAATTTCACATATAATTATATTAATTGGTTAAATTTTTTTTATATTCATAGTAATACGATTTTATATAAACTTACAACAACTAGTGTATAAGCTCAGCCATTTTATTTTGGAAAATTACAGTTCCTATTTCTTACTACCTGAGGATGGTGTAAATTATATATCCTTATTTTGGTGCAAATTACAAACACATTTAAAAAAAATGGTGCAAATTACACATGTTGTATATATTTGGGTCAATTTTGGTGCAAATTGACTACAGGCGTATCGAGGGGTGTTTTTGCTACACCATAAATTGTTTTGGGGTATAGGGGTATCGTTTTGCTACGTCAAAAAAATATTTGAACTTTTGAAAATGTATTATATTTGATAGGTATTTATTATTCAAGTCTTAACCAAAATTATTCGTTTTTATAGTTGTGAGTTGTGACTATTGAAGTATATAATATTATGAAGTAAAAATGTCATGGTCAAAATAACTTTGATTTTTGAGATATTCATGTATGATAACCTTAATTTTTTCTTGTGTGAGTGTTTCTATAGCATTTTTCCAAACAAGTCCTAAGGGACTAAAATATACACGAAATATATTTATACCTACCATACAAAATAATGAGTAACAATATTAACCTATTCACGTTTTTATATTACTTTACTAGCTGACTCGGCACTTCGTTGAGATGCCGCGCACTTCGTTTCAGTAAAAAAATGACAACTCTTAAAAAAATTGTGATCGTTCAACTCCTTTTGGGTGTAACTGTCTGCAGTAAGTGCAACTTAGAAAAACCCTAGTAGGCAATCCGGATACGTAGGAACACGGTCAATGATCAAATGTGGTGGATTGTGGACACGCCGATGAGCGGCTATAAGTGCAACTCAGTCACCTTTGGTAGGCCATGTGCGAAAATTCGATTTGATGCATGCTTCTGATCTGCAGCCAGACTAACCAATGGCAACCAATACAAAAAAAATAATAATTATTTCTACTAATTATTTCTCCTACAACCAATGGTTTGCTACCATGTTTAAACAAAAATTAAATCGTAAATCTCAAAATCCCTGTTTGAGCACCTCTCCGGGTTGAACCTACCGGGTCCATTTGTAAATCTAAATCATCCAGGGAACCACTCAAACATACACAAACAAATTCATCAAAATCGGTCCAGCACTCCAGCCGTTTAGGAATATTATGCATAAAGGACATACAGACAATCATTCATTTTTATATAAACAAATAAATATTTAACAGTTAAATTGTTAAATTTTAACAAAAGAATCAATTGTGACAAAAACTGGTGTTGCGTATAAATACGTATTCCCATTTCTCCGCTTTTCGTCGTTAGTTTTGTCTAATTATTAAAAAAAAACATTACCTTCTTTTTACCTCAAAAAGTACCAACTATACTGTAGCTATAGGATCGGTTAGGTTAGGTTAGTGCATAGATTCAATTGTACCAGAAAATACCCTCAAAGTTGATGATTGGAGAATTTTTAGTGCTCCTAAAGGTGACGTCAGACACAAAAAAGCACATCATTGTTAAATTAATATACATTCATCGCTATGATAAGAATCTTTAATTTTGCCTTGCATCAGATTAATTATAATGCACTGGGAGAAAATCCTCGTTTTTAATAGATGCCATTGTACATTTTCGTATGTTATTATAAGGTAAAATTAAAAAGATAATACATACAAGTACCTTTATAGTATATAACCTATTAATTCTTACTTATTAGTTATTATTACTATATACTACATTACTACCTAACCATTAATAGGTTGTAGTGGTTGTACGATTATTATAACAAGTTATAAGTTATAATTGGCTGGTCAACATAACATTATTGGTTATATTATTATGTGTTTACTACACTGATCGGGTCACCCTTTTCGGTTATATTTTCTAATGTATTATATTAAAAGCTAGTATAATAGGGTAGGGTTAGGCGCAATTTTATAACATAACGTACTTATTAATTAATTTATTCATTGATTTTGTGTTTTGCGAACAATAAATCGCTTCACAGCCGCAGTTGAATGAATGTAATTCGTTAGCCTTAGTTTTGATCTGCAGCACAAAAGTGAAAAGATCTTTCTCAGTCATTTTATTAAAGCATTTTACGAATAACTTAAACAAAGGTTTAAAAATTACCTTTAACCTAACTAAAAACGATTGAAAAATTAAGACAATAACGAAGAAAATAATTTAAGTTTTTTTAATTACAAATTATTTCTAGGATTTTACAATATTAACTAAAAATATATGTTGACATTTAGGTAAAAGTGTAAAACGTAGGTATATTTATTATCGATAGTGCCGTTAATTGGTCTACCATGATTCGTAAAGCATTCATTCATAATGGAACATAAAAGAACATTAAGTAACATGACCCAAGAAATATTGATCTTTGACGTTGTATAGCTTATGTTATATTATGAACGTTTTATTCAGCTAACAGGATTCAACATTTAAAAGTGATTACATAAAACTAAAAGCGGTAGAACATTTAATATCCCTATATTTTACATTATTGAGAATTTTACAATATATTACTTAGTAATTGTTCCTTTTATTATATATATTTGAAATATTATAAATGTAAATGGTATATATATTTTAATTCATTGTATAACTTTAGGTTATTAACTTGAAAAAAAAAAATTCTAGTAATATTAATCTATATAATATATTAAAACAGGTAATGTGAGATAAAGAAAATATTATCTACACGATTAAAAAACAATAATAACAATGACAATATATAGGTAGTTAAAATTCATAATGTATAATAATTAATAACATAATATATATTTGTACAATCATTTGAAAATTGAAATTGTTTAATATAAAAATCTAATTATATATTTTATCTAAAAGTTATTCGAGAACAAATAAAATATATTTGCATTGTACATAATAATGATTATTCAATAAAAATGTTTTTAAGGGAAATTAAAATCATATATATTAGGTATATTATATTATATACGTATTATTGTTATCCATAATTCATATAAAACTATTAAAGTATAAGTATAAAATATGGTTATTAAAATGTTTATTTCTCGTTAGTTGATCATACACTAAATATCTGATTTATCTTAAGAATTATTGTTTGACAGTATTACTTTGCATAATCTTACAATAAAAAATTTAATTTACAGCTTAAAGAAATGTTTTAACTCTAAAATTACTAAAACAACGTTGTTCAGAAATATTTTTGGCACGAGTTAATAAACTTATGTAAAACTAATATTTCGTGGTTTCTTTATTACGATAATAACCTCGAATATAATTTATGCTTTGTATCAATATATACTTTGAAACTGCCATAAGCTGGAAGTAATATTTATCTTAAACATTGAAAACTTAAATTATTTCATCAAAAGTTAATTTCGTATGCATATTAAATGTACTACAATTTATTACAGACAATTAAAATTCATTACATAACTAACAATTCGGATTAATTTAGTCGCCATTTATTCCTTATATTTTATCCCGATTCGTTTGAGACTTAAATTCTATCATTAGCCCGCTCGACCGTTTGTTTCCCTCATGTCAATAGTTCTAAATACTTTCCTGTAATTAGTTTCTACTATATTTTTCATTATTAACCTTTATCACTATTATACTATTATCACTATATATATATTATTATAAACTTTATAGGTACCTATATAAATATCTTTTTTTTTAAATTTGTATATAATATATGTAAATAATAACACGAAATATGACATAATGTAATGAAATATATTTTAATATAATAAAAATGCGGGATATATGAACATAGCTACGAAGGCCAATCGATAATGAGATTATAATGTAATAGTGAAGATAACCGATCGTGCGGTAATATGGTTAATTAAAAGCAGAGATATACAAAATATTCTCTATGGAATATTAAGTTTTTGAGATAGGTACAGCTGTAAAAAAGTGAGGAGGGGGTTAATTAAACTATAATATTTTTAAATGACTTAAAAACTACTTATAATAGTATTAATAACATAATCCTATTTAATATTTAATATTCGTATATCTATTTTTTCATTTGTATTTAATACCATGTATTTTGTATTTTGTATTTTGTATTTATTCAATTTATTCGGTTTAAAAGTATTTTGTCGTATACACGTGTTTGTATACACGTGTTTGTATACACGTGTTTGTACCACTATTACTATTTACTACATGTAATATTGTAATCGTCCACTGTCAAGTCGTTATTAAGTATCGAAATAAGTAGTAGGTAGGTCGATGATATTTCAATAATAATAAAACAATTTATTTCTGAAAAAATAGTTTACTTAAAAATAGTACCTATAGGTACCCTAATACTGTTATATGCTGTACGGACGTTGGATATCATTTAAAATGAATTAAGTGCATAAATATATAGTGAATAGTGCATTATATAAAGCATTTTAGTATTTGTTGATAAATATAAGCTAATTAAATGATAAAATATATTCTTAGATAACTGTCTCAGAAAATCTGTTAGCTTATAATTTAAATTAATGATCGCATAGAACTTAATATAATATTATTTTTATACTAACCACAGAGTAAATCGTGACGATCAAAAGCGATTTATAATATTATTATAGTAATTAAATGGTTAGGTATTGATATTTGTTTGTGCGTAGGTATATGTAAAATTGTGGACAGTTCATACTATAATCATTGTTATGTATATAATACTACTGCCTGATCAGTGTCTTATAGAATAGAACATTATTGGTCATTATACAAACATAGAATTCAGGTATTCTTATATATACATATTCATTTTTACAACATCAAAATCTGCGACTGTTTGAAAATATGAATAAATTAACTGTGTTAACAATGATATTTATCTGCAATATTGGAAACATTATCAGCGTGGATCCTTTGGCTTATGAATACGGACATCTTCTATTTTCCACACTAGTATGTATTATCTAATGATATTATTCATATGAATAAATAATTATAATAATAATATTACTATGTAATTTCTACCGGTTATCTGCAAGACTGCAACGAAAATTTAAATTACAAAAATTGTATTTATGAGTGTTTAATTTTTGAATATCATCAAACCTGCAGATGTTCCTATTGGCTATTATTATAGTTTATATTATTTTTACTACTGAAAAACCATATTAATATTTAATAACAATGACTTGAGAATTATTGAATGTATAAATCATGTAGGCGGGAAAGCGAGCATACAGACATAGTCCATAGGCATATTGTTAGTTGTTACCACTAATATAGGTATGGACCTATTACCGGATTAGGATAATGATATATATAAAATTAAAATTATCTAATAGTATAAAATACTATAAGAAATGTATAATATACATTATAGTACATATATGGATAGGACATCTATCAGCGGCGATCAATGATTTCGATTGAGGCCAAATTAGTGTACATCTAAAAATTGACTGTTGTGTATTTATAGTAGTTATTTATTGTAGTATGTAAATCCCGCCTGAAAAAAAACTACAGGTGTAAAAAAGTACATTTAAATTCCGCCCGTAAAAAAATTATTATTGATAAACACATATCCTGCCTATGAGTAAAAAGTTCTTATTACTTAATAAAGTTTTTACAAAGTACCTAGTTTTTAATAATAATACGAGAAATAACAGATTAATCATTATAAGTATTTAAATAAAATATGTATATATATTTCACATATTATATAGTCAATAATTAATAATTATTACTACATAATTCATATAAAATTAATACAAATCGTAAAAATAGGAAGTACTTAATATTTATAATAAAGACTAGTCAAAATATAATCATAATCAATAATTACCACATATAAGTCATAAATAATTAATAAAAATCGTAAAATAGAAATAAAATCTCCGTGGTCTATAGTAGTATATATGTACCTATTAGTACTTATATAACTAATTTAAATACAACTATACATTTATAAATTTATACACAACAATAGCCCAACTAATTTACACTGTAGACAATGATTGAAAAAGATCCGTATCACATGTCTTCTACGAGTTCTACTCTTAAAATGATCGTGTAATTGTATTTCTTATTATATTATGACAAAATATATTCAATAATAGTTTCTGAATGTTATGACTTATGAAAATTGAAACATAATTAATATTCTTACATTTAATTATTACCTATTTCAGAATAATAATCACTAAAGACGATTTCTTTAATATTATTTAGTTGTACAGACACGGAGATCGGTCAATTGAGCGTACTTATACAAACGACCCGTACGCTAATAAATCTTATTGGCCAATGGGATTTGGCCAACTAACTCCTGTAAGTAATTAATTTAATTGCGCATTTGAAAATCTGAAAAGGATAATGAGTATTGTCTTTGTCTTACAATAATACCATTATGTTTTTTATAACGACTTTAAACGCTGATGTATGCTATACGTATTCGTTTGTTATAACGTCTAGTGAATGAAAAAAATTGAAAATTGTAAAGTGTGTTAAATTTTTAATTTGTGAAATTATAAAATTTGACATGATTTAAAAAAAAAAATTCGAATAATAATTATACTAAATTTAAGATTTATAATATTACAGATAATTACACTAAATGTAGTGTATAAGTTAAATACATAACAAAAATATTTTATGTATAGTAGGTAGGTAAACATCGTTTCATGCATTATCATCGACCTTAAAACGACGGACTTGTGGGGTTATGTTTTAGATTCTGAGTGGAACGATGAATGTATTGATTTTACAATCTTATGTGTTTTTTTATTTTTTTTATTTTTTATTTTTAATTTCAATTTTTGTGTCTATGTCATCACGTTTTAGGACAGTAAAAGTGCTTGGATTTTCTTCAACAGTATCTTTTCTGATAGGAAAGTGAATCTAGTTGGTACTTTGGTTACAAAATCTGAGTTCGAGAAAATTGATTTTGGTTTTTGGTGCAACTCTTAAACAAATGACTGTAGGTACATGCCATTTAGACTGACTGTTTATATTAGCATTTTCTATACACTATAACATTTTCCAAATATTTTGACTTATTTTGAGCTCTTTACGGACATTTTCAGTTTCCATTTTTTTTTAGTTTTTTTTCTAAAAATATCATTAAAATTTTATTTGTTGGTTAAAAAAGCTTGACAATTTAATAGAAGGCTCCTAGTATATTGTTTCAAAGGCAGATGAAAAATATTAAAAATCCTTAGTTTCAATCACAGTTTTTTTTTATAAGCATTTAAAGTTCAAAAATTGACAAAATATGGAAAAAATCACGAAAATTAGCAAATTATTTTGAGTTAAGAATTCTTAAACATTTTTGTTTTAAATCTAAGATTTTAAAATGTAATAAAAAAAAAATGTTTATAAGAAGGTCATAACTAAAGGTCAAACTAAATTTTTATGAGCGTTTGAAATTCAAATATTTTCAACATTGGATATTCACTCGATTTCTCATATAGCGATTTCCTTATTTTGTTGTCATTCAAAAACGAATAACTGTAGATACATGAAAAATGCACTAAATGTTTATATTAGCATTTCCTATACACCATACAATTTTGAAAATATTTTGGCTTTTTTTGAGCTGTTTACGGACATTTACAGTTTTAATTTTTTTTAGTTTTTTTTTCTATAAATATCAATAATGTCTTATGTGTTGGGCCAAAAAGTGTACAAATTTAATCTAAGACTCCTGATATATTGTTACAATATCAGTTGAAAAATATTAAAAATACATAGGCACAATTTTTTTTCATAAGCATTTATAGATCGAATTTTGACAAAATTTATCAAATTTAAAATTGAATAATTATTTTGTAGTTAAAAATATATAAAATGTTCAACTTTTATATCTAAGGATTGAAAATTTAAAACAAGATTTCACGTAAGTAGTTAATTCTGTTACCAAAAAATCTAAAAAGCACAGTTCATTTTTATAGTCATTTTAAGTTCAAATTTGGATGAAATTACATAAAAAAAAACCTAGAATAACTATTTTAGTTATTTTGTTGTGATTGTACAATATTATTCGTGGGTACTTGAAACTTCTAAAGTACACTATTATATATCTATGATAGTATCAGTTTTTGTTGTTGATGTATAACGCGTTATAAGTACCTAATGGATATCGTGATATGATTAATTTGGAATTTATTATAGGTACCTACCTATTATAGGTAAATTTTTTTTAATACCATAGATAAGTATATAATATGTGAATATGTCTTATACCTAGACTCACATACCGTCTCAGCTCAGAATCGTTTTTCTTATACAATGATCTATTTGTAACCTACTGTACAGCAGAGCACCTTTTTTACTTTTTAGTCTGGAATAGAAAAGCAATTTAAACTGGGAAAATGGTTGAGAAAACGGTACAGCGAATGGTTGCCTGAAGTGTATTCTGCAGAAGACGTTTATGTGCGGAGCTCTGACTACGATCGGACCATAATGAGTGCCCAAGCTAATCTAGCCGGTTTGTATCCTCCCGTGGGACCTAAAGATTGGAACATGATGGAACCTGGAAAGCACATTCAACTAGTTCCAATACACACTGTGCCGAAGTACATGGATAACGTACGTATAATATCGTACAAAGTGGTTTGGGTGCGTGTTTGGTTTATCAGAACGAATTCATACAATGTTCTCGACATAATTAATGTTTTGTTGATTTGTTAATTTTTACTCATATTAAAATTTAAAATAATATATAGTATCGCGGTATAGTTATTTAAAAACGGAAAAAAAGGATGAGCTAGAAAAAGTCACGTATTCATAATTTGCGCAGACCAAGTAAAAACCGAGAGTGATGAACTATATAATATACAGCTGAGAAATTAGTTGTAGGCTAGGTTTCAAGACGGATGCTTAGAGTGCTTTTAGTTTTTTTAATGTCTTTTTCTCTCAAGTAGACAGGCTGACGCATTGAAGTCATGACTCATGACGTAATATTCAATTTGTCGTGAAAACTTACGTTTTTTCATCAATTCATCTCGGTATTGTCTGACGACACTAAAGTTCATTTGGATTTCGGATAATAATAAACTCAAAATAATTGAGTTCACGTAGAAAATATCGAATAGTAGATAGGTATGACATGACTTTGTATTAAACATTTGACATTTCGTATACATTTTTTGAGGTTCCGTAGGTGAATTTTAAATACGAGTATGCGTTTTGTTTTCGATTTATTTGTTACCTAGATAGATAGGTACAAGTGTTATACAAAAACAAAACGATGCTTGTGTTTGATGTTTCGATTCGTTTTTTAATCATTTGTCATATAATATTAAAACTTGATCATAATGCGTTTGTATTGAATCTTCTTTAGTTATTGTCAATGTCAGAGTCTTGTCCACTCTATTCACAGGAGATGGATGAGGTAGTAAACGATTTCGAGGTACAATCATTTTACGCCCAGTTTAGTTCGGCGTTCGAATACATGGAAAAAAATAGCAACCTTGAAATGGGTAAAAAAACAGTCATCAAATCAACTACGTTGCTATACGATGCACTCCTCGTAGAGGTAAATACTAAAACTTATAACATTATACATTAATAAATTATATGTTTATTGTAAATTGTATGTTTTTAAATTCATAATCCATCATATCCATTTAATGCGTTATAGCAATTTTGTTAATAGATTTTTGCATTGTTTTATAATTGGACATTGTATTATGACGATAAATTTTATTTTATATTTTTGGGTGAAATTAAAATATTTCACCATTTCTTTTTTATTTTGGTGTTTTATAATGCAATTATTTTTAATTTATAAAGACAGCTATATACCTATATACATTTTTGCTTAGAATTTAATATTTTATTAATTATCAGTTGTTTTATTTTATCGTCATTCAACTATTTTAAACTTAATAAGTTAGTAGGTACATATATTTTTGTAACTTCTGCTGTATATTTAAAGATAAACATAGACGTGATGAAAAATTATATAATACCTATAGGTACATATATGTAGGTACTGGAAATAAAACCAATTGAAATTATTTTTTAATATAGAAATACAATTTTTTTTAAAATAATACAATATTATCCTTTTAATTTTTATATTAATAAATAATAATTGTATCTTATGATTTAAAAGGAAAGATTATTTAGGGTGATAATGTGACCGTATATTCCATCAGTCTTTTATGTTCAATATAATAATATACACCAGGTGATTATTTTATTATGAACCAATTACTATTTAAAAAAATATTGGTTTTAAAAAAAATATTTACGTGGTTTCTACTTTCTGTCGTTAAAAACAACATTAAAAAAAAATATATATTTTTTTCAATATGTTTTATCATTATTATTTTTAGAGTATTTTACTTTTTTGAATAATAACATATAGTTTTAATTTTACATTCCAAAGCAGAATATTATTTCTTAGTATTTCGATACATAAAAATCGAATTTAAGAAGAGTAGTTTATGAGTTGTAACTAGATTTTCATGTATAGAAAGACTTAAAAATATTCTTCTTTGGAATAGAAAATTAAAACTGTATGATGTCATTCAAAAAAGTAAAACCTTAACAATTTCAGCAGGATTATTTAATATTAAAAATTATAATTAAAAAAAAAAATATATTCTTTCTCATCGACTTGAAACCATGTTTGAAAAACTTTAATACCTAGTTTTTGAAATAATATTACCTAGTGCCTTAGTGTAAAATGAATCACCCGGTATATATAGCTTATAACTGGAATATTTTAATTGAGTACCTATTTGAAATAATAGCCATGTTCATATCTTTAATAAACGAGCCTATAGTTTCCGTTAAGCATTAATTGTATACCTGTACTGTATTACTATCTTATGTAATGGGCTCGTCCAGTATTGTAAAATAAAATAAATACTAAAAAGTTTTTATTATTTAATAAAAAAAAAATATGTAAATCATTTTAGGATCACTATAATATTACTAAGGTTGTTATTTAATTAGTGTTCCTTTAACCAATCCGACAATTTCGACCATATTCCAATTACTGATTATTTCTAAAAAATCTAATTAAGGCATTTTAGTATATTAGTCAATTTTAACAGAAAATAATTTTATAATTTTTTTCTACTTTGTATATTTTGAGTAGTTACAAATTTAAATTTAAATTGTTAATTTTTTTTTTTATATATAACTTATAGAATAAGTAATTTTGTTTTATAGTCACAGTTCAACTACACATTACCGAAGTGGACTAAAAGTATATTTCCTGAACCATTATTGACAATAGTTAAAGAAAATGTAGAATTGGCTACACACACTAATACTTTGAAAAGATTAAAAACTGGCAAGTGATTTTCTAAATTCTTAATAATAATTATTTATTTATTAAAATAAATATAGGTACGGCATAGATTTATCCATTTAGACGAATAAAACTAACAATGACTTTTAAGATCTGTATACTCAATAACTTAAATCAGTAATACAATTCAGTATCACTTTTTTTTATAATTATTTTTTTTAATAGGCATTTTACAGGTTCTTATTTTGAATCTCGATTGGATTTAGATTTAGATTTAAATTTTTTCTTTTAAAAATCTTGTTTTCACGATGTACACGATAATCATACATTATGTATATTATTGAAGGTTATCTTAGGTCAATTTGAAGTTCATAATTGTATAAGGCATACTTACTTAAAAATATGAATATTTGACTAAACTAATTTTAAACCAACCACACTTCAAAATTAAAATATATTAAAGGATATTTAATCATTGCTCATCACAGCAAAATTATTAAAAACCGCATTGGACAAAATCACACACAAATATTTCGATATTACTGATATCCTGATGCTGCACAGTGGCACGTACCCAACTGTTACCGAATTTTCCAATATTTTCTAATTTTAGTTATTAAATATTAATTACTATACATAACATAAGTAACAGTTCATATCTCATGAACGATTAATAATAACAATATTATTTTTGACCCACCCAAAGTGTACAAATAAATTCGTAATGAAATTCCAGTTAACCTACTTACCTATAATATTTAAATAGCATAATAGTACATTAGTACCTAACGTCTAGCACGTGATAGTTATAAAGGTGAGTACAATTTTTAAATTCTTTCAAATAACTAAGCCAACTAAGAGGATCAGGGAATTATATTTTACGATTAAAATGTTTAATTTTTTATAAAGCAAATACAAATTTGATCAAAGTTCATTCTGTTAGGCATTAACAATATAAAAAAAGTGTTCTTTAATTTTTAACATTATTAAAAAAAAAAAGAATATTCCATATTTGTTAAAATTAATTTACATTATGTGTATATTGACATGTTATGGATTCTAAAGAATCTGTGTGGTCTTGAGCCATTTTCGTAAGTGCTTTTAGGATATTGATTTTATCAAATGCAAGCGAAATATCGAGTCAGTTTTGTACGTGGTATAACGTATAAGGTTATGAATTTTTCGTGGGCTGGTTATGTACCTATTTTGCCCGGCATTGAGCCATTTGCGCCGGTGGAAAGCATCGGAAAGAACCTTAATATAATATAAAAATATAAATTAAAATACGTGACCCAAGAATTACGAAATGTACAGAATTGATTTCATGATCTATGTTTTAAATGTTATATATATATAATATACATCGTTTGTATAACACTCATGTTGTCGAGGAATAATGAATTGCCAATTAGCCAATCATCGAAAAATGTTTAAACTATATAGTTTATTTTTCAAGTATCAAACAGTATACAACAATGGTTTAGAGTATATTTTATGAGTTTTGTTTGTTATATATAGTTATACATTATAATGGTTATAGTGATATTAGAATAAAGGTTTGGTTTGTATTCAGGTCCTTTACTTAACGAGATTGTAACCCATATGTACGAAAAGAAAAATGGTACCCTGAGTCCTAACAGAATGCTTTGGGTTTATTCAGCTCATGATACTACTATAGTTAATTTACTCAACGCTTTTGAACTATACGAACATTTACTGGTGCCCTATGCAGCTGTCTTGATGATTGAACTTCGGTTAAACACTACAGGAAATTATGTTGTCACAGTGAGTTTTTGAGCACATAAATATTAAGTATGTAGGTGATATATATAAAGTATAAATACATTTACGAATAAAGTACCTACCTATGTATAAATCAGTATATGAATTACGTTTTTTTTTTTTTTAAGCGACTAACTAAACCAGAACTGCAGTATGATTTTATAATTTTTATTTGATTTTATTTTAGTATTATTTTTTGGTTAATAATAATTTATATTTTAGATATCGTATCGAAACACAAGTAACCACGAACCATACTTACTACATGTACCTGGTTGCGATTCTGTTGCTTGCGAACTAGATATATTTATTGATGTTTTAAGACCAATTATATCAGTTGACTGGGATGTTGAATGCAAATCTGATGGTGGAAAATCATATTTTAAAATTTTTCAGTGAGTCAAACGTGTACTTATTATTTTGTATTTCAATCTGAAGCTGTTAAAAATGTAATGGTGTATGTTTTAAAATGTAATTTATTAAAATAATTATTATGATTACATCTAAAAATTTAATCAATTAATAACCGTAGGACTTTAATTTATCAAAACAAATATCGGAAATACGATTTAAATATTAAATATTATGTCGAAGACTCGAACAAATTGATATTTATTCCAAATTAGGACTACCTATGCATTTATAATTATAATTAAAATTTATTATTCGTGTGGTTTTTAGCACGTGTTCTGTATAGGCTATACAAAAATAACTTATAACTTATGTTAGTATTAGACACTCCATCATTTTAAAATTGTATTATTTTATTTTTCAGATTATTTATCAGACATTATAACTATTATTGTAATAATAATAGTATCGTATGTGATTGCTGGAAAAATATTATCTCTCTTTAAGAAAAGGTCACTTTACCAAACATGTGAGTAGTCAGAGCAGGTATTTCCTATTTATGTTGTTTTTAAGATTGAATATGTATTTATTCAAATGTTGAAGAAATATTAAATATAATCAACTCTAACTAAACAAAATAAGAAATCTGAATAAATAACAAAAAATAAAAATAATTAGAAACTATGAAAATGTAAGTCGTAAACATTCAAACTAACAACAATGAACAAATTGTATTATGCTATAATTTTGTAATATATAAATTAATAAACAAAAAAAAATGTTTTATAACTTAGCAATAATTTGTCCTATCACGTTCATATTTTACGCTCTTATAATTTTGGAGACATGGTTAATGAGAATATGCGATAGTTATTAATATTAATAAAAGGTTTTACCTACTTAAATAATAATTCTCTTATCTATTGAACACTTTACACGAGATAAAATGCTGGCTTTATGCTCGTACCTCTCGTGATCAATAGCGAACGTTTAATAATAGTAATAATAATAATAATAATAATAATAATATCTCATACTACCTTAACCATACAAAAAAAATAATAAATATTATATATTATATATAACACACTGAACAGGGAGAGGTTTAGTGATTATTATTATCGTTAACGTTATCCAATATAATTAAGTTAGAATAGCGTCCGATATATCAAGGGAAAAAAACAGAAAAATAATATTTATGTTGCACACATATTATAACAATTGTTTATTTAAATATGGACGGTAGGTTCCTAACAATAATAAATAATAAAATATTTATATAAATCTAACGGTTAAATGAGGAGTACCTATATACAATATATACAGGGTGATTATCCGAGCATGCTCGCACCTTTTTTCTTCAATAATATAGTTATTCAAAATCTGTTTTTTTGAATTTTCAAATATACTTTAAGACCATATTTTCAAATTCTTGAGATTTTTTTACTACTTAAAGAGTGTCCTGTGGAGATGCAAACTTTTGTTTTTCAAATGAGAACACCCCTATTCAACTATAAATTATTTGTACGAATAGTTTTTGATATATTTAACTTTGTGTTCTAAGGATAAAAGGTCCATGGTTATTTGAATTTCGTAGTCATCAAAATTAATATATCAATATTAATAATTTGTAAAAATTGCCCAAGTATGATAAATATTAGATTCAATTTTACATCTATTTTATATTTATGTAAAACCAGTTTTAAGGATTATTATTCTTAATATAAACATTTTAGTTACTAAGAATCTACCTACTAAATCGAATTTTGAATTAGGTAGATCAACATTTTCAAAAAAATTATCCACTAAATAATTTACAGTAAAAATTGAGTGTTATCATTTGAAAAACAGAAGTTTGTATCGCCACAGGACACTCCTTTAGTAGTACAAACAAATTCAAGAATTTGAAAATATAGTCTTTGGACTTCAGCGCCACTGGGCCAAGAATATTTTATCAATTTTTAATAGTAATCATATAGGAGCATTAATGGAGGGCCAATTATTTATTCTATTATTAGTGGTGCCATCGCACACCCTGCCAACCCCCAAATGACGCCAATGGTCATATTATAGTATCGCTCGAAAAATCTACCCCTATACTGATAAAACATTTGTCATATTATATTTGTTGCATATAGCCTGATTTTCATTCGGTATTAGCTGTTATAATTTATAGTTCCTACTAAATGACTATTAATGTGATCATTATACATATTATACCTGCTATTTTTTTATAATGTCTAGACATTATAAATAACATCGGATGTATTCATATATTTCCGGTAACATAAATAAAAAAAAAAAACAAAAACGGGTAATTAACGTTTACATACAAAAAATAATAAAAATAATCAATATAAAAACGACCACATTAATCACTATAATATTTATTAAATTCACATCCTTTAAACTGATTTTATCATCTATAAAAGGTCTATAATTATTTTGTATGAATATAATATTTAATTATAAATTGAAATATTCTATGATCCGATTTTAAAATGTGGGTAAAATAATAAGAATAATTACTAATTAGACACAGCTGGTTGTGTTAATCTCTTAATAAATAGTTATTATTATCTCTTTAATGTCACTATAAACTATAATTGTTATAATGAAAGGTGTACAAAATATTATGAATGCGTATACCTAATTTAATTTAATTTAAAAAAAAAAGTGTAATTAAATTAAATTGAAAAAGTAAAATTTCGTCGTTACATTTTGATATATTTAAATATCGTAATTATTGTAAAACAAAAATAGGTAATATTAATTATTAAAATGATTATTATTTAGCTGGGTTGAGCTTTAGTTAATTAAAAATATAACCTTCAAAAATTAAAATACAGGTTAACTGTTATTAGTAAAGTACGTAATAAACGTACTTTACTAATTAGTTTAAATTTAATAACATTTCCTTTAATATATATATATATATATATTATGCTGGAATATTTGTATTTGAAGTTTATTGAGTAAATTCTAAATAACAAATATTTAACTAACTTACAGAATTACATTTATTATTTATATAATAATCATAAGTAAATATAAATGCAACAATAGTCTTTAATTGTAAATTAATTGTTAGTTAATTTATTGATGTTACAGTGTATTGATTTTTCTTTCATAATTTAAATTGAGTACATTTGATATTATATTTATTAATGTTTAACTATACAGGATTGTTTGGATTTGAATTTATATGTATCACAATTCAAACTTATTGATTACGTGTTTATAAATTGTATTGGTCTGAAAATCTATTATTCTATTAAACTATTTCAGCCTTATTTTCACATTTTAAACTATTGTCAAGTAAAATTTAAATTACATTCTAAAGAATTAAAAGTACTTACATCATTTCAAGCCTTAGCATAAACGACTTAAAAAGTTATATAACAATAGTTACTTTTAATTTAAAAATAACTTCTATCTTAACGAGTCAAATTTTTTCCCATGATATGTACCTAGGTATAGGTGGTAAACTAATCACAAATACCAGTTAAATGTTAACTAATTATTATAGCCATGTTAATAGTCAATTGTTTTCCTAATATAAAACCCCTAGATCAATGTTATACTTTGTTTTGAACAAATTATTGTTTTTATAGATATAAAAAAATCAGAAACTGCGGTATTGTGGTATACTTCAGGTTATAATATTATACATATATAGTTAAATACTAAATTGTAGACTACCGAAGTGTTTAATGCACTATTCCCAGTCCCCAGATTTCAATAGGGATTAAAATAACGTACTTATATTAACACTGCTATATAAATGCCTAAATCTCATTCAAACATATTCATTTTAAATCTCACAACGATAACACTACCAGATAATCCAGTTCGAAATTTAAAGCAACGTTAATGGCGTGATCTATATAAAAAAAATCGTGATTATGAATTTTTGATATTTTTAATTTGATATAGGTATATTATGTTCGTAAGAGGAATCTTCATCTTGGTTTTCATGCGTCTCGGTTGATTATAAAATTTGTCATCTATGTTTGTAGGCAGTGGTGCAAGTTGGGTGGGTGGCTAGGGAGGGGCTTACCCCCCAAATATCCCTTATTAATTTTGATATAAGCCTCCTATGGGTTATTTTAAGTTAATAGTTTTGTTAGGTTGGATGTTGGCTTTGCCCTCCCCCCTAGAATTTTGACCCTAATTGCGTCTATGTTTGTTGGTAAAAAAAGTTTAAACATTTAACCTAAATAATAATTTATAACTTCAACTAGTTAATATTATTGGGGGGGGTCCTCCCTATTCCTTTCTCTTGTTTATTGTGTCAAAAATAATGAACTTTTTAATTATTATAATAATATATTTTTGCAGTTTTTGTGTATGCTTTCGTTCATCAAATTTGCTTATTCCGATTTGGCATAAAACATAAATATTCAGCTAAAAAATGAATGTATGAAATTGATTTTTAACTAAGTTGAGTTCCTCAAATATTTAACTTGTAGTTATTACAAGTTTATACATTGAAAAAGAAGTAACTTTTAACTTTAAACTTAAATAACATTTTTCTATAATAACGAAACACACGAGTTAAAAAAAAATTTCTTAACTTTCAAAATATATAGGTAGTAGGTAAATTATATACTTCCAATAGTATGAATAGTTCAATAGTGTGCATTATTAAATTTAATACTTTTGTTGCATACTTTGGAGCTTTACATTGTCTTATATTATATTAAATATATTATATATATAGGCACCCATTATTTCTCGATAATTAATGAGAATTCAGTCAGCGCGCCGGTCGTACACTAGTCACACGTGTGTTCACGACCAACGCTCCCAGGCCCGCCTCCAGCGGCAATTTCGTTTTCTCTGACTTAACTAGTCTTGCTAAGTTGTGCTTCTTTTCCGAATTAGCTAATAACAAGTTCGCGTACAGGTCGGTGTCGATTTTGAGTCGGCCTGATAACTCAAACCCCCGTGGGTCCACCGGCAAGCACCGCCATAAGGTCTTGCTGGCCGCCCGACTCTGGTGAGTACCTTAACCTACAAATATCCGACCACGCGCTTTCCGCACG